TTTTTTTATATTAATATATGTGGTTTTTTTTTATAAAAATCTCTTCTTATTAAAATTAATAAATGTTAAATTTAAATTACACCCAAAAAAACATATAATACATGTTGCACTTGGAGTTCATAATTAGATAATTATATATTTTATCATAAAATACATCTTTCAATCTTAAGATTGAATTTTAAACTTTTTTATCTTAAAATTGTAATAGTTAAAAAAAAAACATATAGTACAAGTTGATTAGTTTCTTTCAACTCTTTTAAAATTTTAAATTACGACTATGTATTTTTATGACAAAGTCAACGGCATGATAGGATTTGGGCTTACAAATTCTTGCAAAATTACACGGCAGAATTACACGGCCGTAAGGAATTAATTTCGTAAAGATCAAAGAAGTGCTGCCGGATTAATTAAGGATTAGAAACTGGTCCATGACCTCCTTCCTTTCTATGGCCGTTACGACTATGTTTTTTTTTAAAAAATTTTTTATAATAATTACATAAGATTTTATTCTTTTAATAAATACAATTTGAGGTTAGAAAGGCGAAAAATAATTAATATAGCATTATTATATCTTAAATTTTAATTATTATTAAACTATTAAATACACTTAATAATTAATTTATGAAGTTTGATGTAGATAATATTCTATATTAACTTGTATATTGTGTTGACTTTTAATATTTCCAAACATTTCTCTAATAAAAAAGAAATTTAAGCACTGCTAAGTACACTCGGCATTAAAATACTTAAGTCTTAGGGGGGTTGTTTTTTTTTTTATAATTTTTTATTTTTTTTACAACACTCAAACTCTAAAAAATTTTTAGCCCCTTGAGAGGAGATAGCGGTCCGCCCATGGCGTTTTATATCATAATTTTTAGCTTTTGACCATGCACAAGTAGCATGTGTTCAACAGTATATAACCATTTTATAAAAACTTTAAGTACCTTATTAAGATATTAGTACATATTAGTCTTAATTTTTTTAAAAAATTAAAATTTTAATTTATATTGAAAAATTAAAATCTTAATTTAAAATCTAAAAATTCAATCAATTTTTAAATTTAAATATTAACATTTAATAAGATAAATTTTTAAATAAATTAAATTTTAAATAAATGAAATAATATAATTTAAACTTAAATTTTTAATTTCTTTAAAAAACCTCAATTGATATGTATTTTTCCATCTTGTTAATTTGTAATTATTTGTTTCTTCATAATGAGTGAAATAAATATCGACTTTTTTATATAACTTAACGTGTTTTTAAAATGATTGATTCTTTTAATTCATATGGAACCCGTGATATTGAATGTATCCACTTATTTAATTACATGTGATACTATTAAATATATCAATTCATTTAATAACATATGAAAGTTGTATAAAAAGATGAGATAAAAAAGTTATCTCTATAACACGACTTTTTTTGTTTTTTAAAGGAACATGTAATTTTTATCATATCCTAAACAAGATATTCCATATTTCTACTCTAAGAAGGTTTTACATTTTTCAATCTCTTTTTATCAGCTTCTAGATTTACAAACCACTGAGGAACCCATTTGGCTTAGTTTGAATTTTTATAGTAGTTATAAATTATGTCGATTTTCTCTTCCACACAAGTTTACCTTCTACATTATAATTTCCCATTAGTAACCACATAATACTTATGTTGCTCGTAAAATAAAGCGCCACGTAATACTTATGTTGCTTAAACCACTGCTCCCTGAGAACATTATTCAATTACTAGAATTCCATGTGATTAATGACCAAAACCTGGGAATTGACTCTATGTATTGGAAAAATTCCAGCAATGGTGAGTTTTCTACCAAAAGTGCTTATGAACTATTGACTAACTATAGTCTTTCTCCATTGGCAGGCTGTTGGAACAAGGTTTGGAGTTTGAAAGCACCATCAAAAGCTAAGCCCTTGTTATGGCTCATGCTACATAATAGAGTCTTAACAAATGGTACCAAATTTGCAAGAGGGATGGCACAAAATGATACTTGTCCTCGATGTTGTAATAATCAAGAGGATATCCTGCACTTATTTAGAGATTGCCCAGCATCAAAAGGGACTTGGGAAATGTGGATTAATGATGGTCTTTGGTATCGATGGCAGCAAATGGACCGCTTGACTTGGATCAGTCATAATCTTTCACGCTCAAATGTTAAAGTTGAATATGATCTAGAGTGGGGTGTGGCCTTTGCAATTGTATGCTGATATATTTGGCTTGGTTGGAATAAAGCAGCTTTTAATGATGATCTTACATGGACTAGTGGAAGGGCATCTATGCGTACGGCTCACTTCATGGAGGCAACAACTCTTTTGAAGCAAAATCATATAGGACCACGGAGTGAATGTTTGGTAGGTTGGGATCCTCCACCAAGTCGTTTTGTTAAGCTCAATGTTGATGGCTCTATTAGGGGTTCACCTGGTCCTTCGGCAGCTAGAAGTTGCTGTCGTAATACATTAGGGAATTGGTTGTTTGGCTTCAATCAACAATTGAGAGATGGACATGCTATTTGTGCGAAACTATTTGCGCGAAACTATTTGCCTTATGGAAAGGGATGGAGCTAACTTGGAACATGGGATATCGGCAAGTTATTGTTGAAACAAATTCACTATTAGCTATCCAAAAATTGAAGAATAATTATATTGAGACTACGTCGCTATCTTATTGGGTTCAAAAGTGCAAATCATTCATGGAGCAAGATTGGTCTAGTGTGGTTCGACATGTGTTTCGAAAAAAAAATTTTGTGCAGATACAAAGGCATCTTAGTTTTATCACCTAGGGAGAGGTTTACAATTACATTATTTTGAGGAGCCCCCTAATGTTGTTCGAGTCTTTCTTGAGATGAAGACAAATTAGGAGTTGGTAGGCCACTAGATAACACCACATGATAAAAAAGACCATTAACGGGCATGGTCGTTGCTGCACAAAATCGGGTTTTAATTAATTTAATTGTTAAAAATAATTAATAATTATAATTATTATAATAATCAATATTTCTTATTTAATAAAATAAAATTAATTTATACAATTATCTTTTTCAACCTTATAATTGGTAAAGGTAGTTAAATAAAATAAAAAAATTATTTTATAAAATACTAATCATTAAATTAAATTAAAAATATAAGAGGACTCCGGCGGCTAAGGGTTTGGCCAAGGTTTAAGCTCAGTTATAATTAAAATCGAATATGTGGTTAATTGAACTTTTTTATTATTAAATTTTAAAAATCAATAACCAAATCAAAAAATAAATTTTATCAATATCAGTTACTTTTTTTTTTAATAATAATCATTCATATCAATTTTGGTTTTAATTAAAAAATTATTTTTATATTGTTAATAATTTTTTAATTTTTAATTATTATTTTATTAATTATAACAATTAAAAAACGAAAAACTACCTAAATAAATAAATTGATAGAAAAGTGACTTGAAAACCTGAAACATATCTTGAAACCATTAAAACATTTATATAAAAAGTTTTTAACACTGATTTCTAGTTTATAGTCACTATAGTCATTGTTTTTTTTTTTTTTTTTGCTTTTAAATTTAGTAACCAAACATGAACTGTTGGACATTGATTTAGTTTAATTTTTTATTAAAAAGTCTAAACCCAACTAAACTCAACTTGACAATTATAATTTATATTAGTTTTAAATTTAGTAACCAAACATGAACCGTTGGACATTGATTTAATTTAATTTTTTATTAAAAAGTCTAAACCCAACTAAACTCAACTTGACAATTATAATTTCTATTAGTTTGAAATTTTTTTCGGCTATAAAATTTTTTGCCCGCCCCTATCGACTGCAAATTAACCATTTAACGGTATACAAAAAACACTCGCACCTGTTTACTTAGAGGGTTAATTCTATCAGAAAAGTTTTTTAATCAAAAAATAATTTAAAAAATATTGAATAAAAAGTTAATATATACTAAACGTAAAGTTAATAAGTTTATAGTAATATTTTATTAAAATTTTATTAAACTATTATTTTTTGTATTTAATAAAAATTAATATACAAA